GCTCTGCCCAGGACAGAGGGGTGACCCCAGGGCGGGCAGAGCGGGAAGCGGCCACGCTGGCTCAGAATCTCAGGCCCTCACCCACACTGAGGGGCCTGGGGGCAGCCGTGGGGTGCTGAGCCCCCTAAATCCTGGGGCAGGTGATCAAAGAGAAGCTACGCCTGAAGCCGGCGGCGGGCGCAGAGGCGCGGGGGAAGCTGGAGAGCAAATCGGACGGGACCATCCAGCAGCAGGAGGAAGACGAGAAGGCGCGTCTGCTCATCGGGCTGAGCGTGGGCGAGAAGAACCCCAGCAAGAAGTCGATCTTCGGCAGGCGCAAATGACGGCAGCACCCGGCAGGCCGGGAAGGGAGTGGGGTGCCCTGTGCTCCCCGCTCTGGAGGGGCACCCTAAGGGTGAGGGGGGGTGCCCACGCTGCTCAGCGGGGCGATGCCCGAGGCAGGGGTTAGCCACGCACAGGCCCTCCGCAGTCCTGTCGCAGTGGGGCAGGGGTGCAGCAGCATGGGGATGTGGGGCGCAGCGGGCTCCGGGGCCGTTTTGTTGGGGCACAGCCCCCTCCCCGTGCCAAGGGCTTCCGTGAGCTTCCCCCCTCCCTGCTGTGTGGGTGCTGGGCTCAGCCCTTGGGCCTGGTGAAGCAGCAGGATCGCTCCAGGCTGGGAGAAAGGGGAACGGGAGAGAGTTTAAATAAAAGAGTTTTTAATTTGGAACAGTTTTGGGCCAGTAGCTTGCTACTTCACCTCCCCATTCCTGCCGCAGTGTCAGGCTCAGTGCTGTCCCCCGCCCCCTCGCAGCTCAGCAGCACCCCCCCTCTATGGTTTCACCCCCTCCCCTTCCGAGGGGGTTGCTCAGGGCACCCGTTTTTTGGGGGCTTGGGGCTCCCTTGCACCATCTGCATCGCCTCATGCTCAGCCCTTGTGCTTGTCCCTCTCCGATCTCTGCTGTGAGCCGGGGCTGTGCATACCCCCACCGGCAAGTGGGGTGCAAAGGGAGGGGAGTGGGTTAAGGGGGGAAACCCCAAAGTGTGCGAGGGGGAGGGTGTCCCAGCTGGTGTGCCCTGCCCAGAAGCAGGAGGGGAGGGATCCATCTCACTGGTGGGAGTCCCCGGGGTTCGCGGGGATGTCCCGGGGTGCGCTGCTGGTGCAAGGGGGCAGCCCCGGCCCCGGGGTGGGGGGGGGTGAGGGGGGTGGGGGGGTGGGGGGGGTGGTCGCTCCCGGGCGGGGCGGGGCGGGGCGGGGCGGCGGGGTTATGTAAGGCGGTGGATTACCGGGGCCCGGGCCCGGGGCGCGGCCGGGCGGCGCCGCGATGGGAGCAACGAGCAGCGGCCCCGGGCCGGCCCCGGTGCGGCCCCCCCAGGTGCGTGCGGGCGGCGGCGGCGGCTCCGGGGGTCCCTCCCCACCCCCCCCCCCCCCGGCCCGGGGCACCCCCCCCCATTCCCCGCCCCGGGGTTCACCCCCGCTGACGATGCCCCCCCCCCCCGGTTCCGCAGGGCCGCGCCGTGGGGTCGTGGGTGCGGGCGCTGCTGGGCCGCGCCGGGCCGGTACCGGGGTCGGGGCTCGCCCTGGCCCCCCGGGGCCCCGCCGAGGAGCCGCCGCTGCCCGGGTGGCCGCTGCCGCAGCTCGTCTCGCTTTTTCTGCCGGAGTTCCCCGTCCGCCCCTCCGCCCGCCAGCAGCAGCTCAAGGTGCCATCCCGGAGCGCCCCCATTCTCCTCCTCCCGGGGTCCCGGTGCATCCTAACGGGATCCCCGACCTTCCTCCCGGGGCTCCCGCACATCCCGAGCTCCCTAACGGGTCCCCTCGCACCCCGTACCGGGGTCCCTCCGCATCCTACCGAGGTCCCCAAGCATCCTCCCGCGCCGTCCGTGCACCCCGTGCCGCCATCCCGGGATCACCGACCGTCTTACCGGCTCTCCTCACACGCCGTGCCAGGTCCCTGCACATCTCACCGGCGTCCCCAGCTGTCCCACCGGGTCCCTTTCTACCCGCCCCGTGTCCAGTCTCCGTGCGTCCTATCTGGGTCCCTCTGCACCCTAATAGGGTCCCCGGGTGTCCTGCTGGGGTCCTGTGCATCCTGCCAGCATCCACTGGCGTCCCCGTATCCCCCATACTGGGTCCCCATGAATCCCACTAGGGTCCCTACTGGTCCTCCTGTGTGCCCACCACTTGCCTTGGGTGCTCTGTGTGACCCCACGCAGGACCCTACACCCTGCCCCACCCCAAGCTTCTTTCCGTGGGGTGCTCAGACCCTGCTCCCCCCCACCTCCTCCAGATCCTGGGCTTCGTGGCCAAAGGCTCCTTCGGGACCATCCTCAAAGTTCTGGACTGTGGGCGGGAGAAGGTCTGCGCCGTGAAGGTGGGTGCTGCCCCAGGGGCCCATGGGTGCCCCCGCCTGCCCTTGGCCACCCCCCAACAGCCCCTTGTCCCTCTCAGGTCGTGCCTAAAGTGGAGGTGCTGCGCCGCGACACCCTCAAGCAGTGCAAGGAAGAAGTCAGCATCCAGGTTAGGGGAGAGTCCAAGGGGGACCCCAGCCTGTGTGTGGGGGGGTGCTGGGGTGGCCGTGGGGATGGCAGGAGGCTGCTGGGGCTGCGCAGGGAGGGTGGCAGGAGTGGGGTCCCCGGTCCCTGCACCCTGAGGGGGCTGCTCACCCTCTCTGCTTTGTGTCCCCAGAGACAGGTCAGGCACCCGTTTGTCCACGGGCTGGGGGACAGCTGGCAGGGCCAGCGCCACCTCTTCATCAGTGAGTGACCATCTGCCCGTGGGCTCGCCCCGGCTCCCCCCCCCCCCCCCGCCCGTGCACGTGTCCCTGCTGCCCGCGCACGTGTCCCCGCACACGTGCACGCTCCCCCCGCGCTGCCTGCTGCCCCGTGGGGATCCAGGCTGCCGACTCCCACCCCTCACCCACCGCAGGGACAGCGACGGGGGGCGGACACCAGTGTGGGGGGGTGAATGAGGCACCCCCGCCCTGGCCCCAGTGACCCTGATGGCTGTGCCACCTTGGTGCCCGCATTGCTTGTGTGTTCCCAGTGCCTGTGTGACCCCGGGGACTGTGTCACTGCGGTACCCATGTGGCCACCAGTGCCTGTGCCACCTTGGAGCTCATGCAGCCCTGGTGCTTGTGTGTTCCCGCTGCCCACATGGCTCTGGTGCTCATGTCACCGCTGTACATGGCCCCAGCACTTGCATGCCACCTCAGTCGTGCCTTTGTCACCTTTAGTAGGTGGTCCTGGTGACCACATCGCCCCGGTGCTTGTGCCACCTTAGTGCCAGTCCTGATGCTTTCCCACCTCGCTGCCCTTACGGCCCTAGTGCTTGCACCACCTTGGTGCACGGCTGTGGTGCCTGTGTCCCCTTGGTACGTGGTCCCAGTGACCCACCTGGCCGTGCCACCCCACCGCCCGTGCCCCTCACACCAGCCCGTCCCGGCAGTGTGCACCTACTGCAGCACCGGAGACCTGCACGCGCTGTGGCGTGCCGCCGGGCGCTTCGCCGAGCCCACCGTCCGCCTGTTTGCCGCTGAGCTGGTGCTGGTGCTGGGTGAGTGGCCTGCCACGCTGGGGACAGCCACCACTGTCCCCACTAACAGGGACCTGCAGGCAGGGTCAGCCATGCCCGGGGGGTGGGCAGCTGCCTGCCAGGTGATGTGGGGGTGGCAGCGGGCACCGTGCTGGCGAGGGGACCCCTTGCTCCAACAGCTCCATCTTCTCCCCAGTGTACCTCCACGACCTGGGCATCATACACAGAGATGTGAAGGTGGGTGGCAGCGGGGCTGGGGGGGCCAAAGGATGGGGTGGGGGGGGTGTCTCCGAACCTCCCAGCATGGAGAGGCTGCCCCAGTGCCTGTCTCATTTCAGATGGAGAACATCCTCCTGGATGAGAGAGGTAAGTGTCTGGTGGCACTGGCTTGGCGATGCCCCATCTGTGGGCACACTCCATCCACGGGGACACCTCATCCGTGGGTCCCCACGCAGTGTCTCGCCCCACAGGGCACCTCAAGCTCACCGACTTCGGCCTCTCCCGGCACCTGCAGCGGGGTGAGCGAGCCCACACCATCTGCGGCACCCTGCAGTACATGGGTAAGGGGGCAGCGGGGGGGGTGCAGTGGGGGGCACGGTCCCCCCAGGCGCTCACCCACTCATCCCCACAGCCCCAGAGGTGCTGAGTGGGGGGCCCTACAGCCACGCAGCTGACTGGTGGTCCCTGGGAGTCCTGCTATTCGCCCTGGCCAGCGGGGAGGTGAGGGCCACAGATGGAGGTGGGGGGAGTATAGGGGCACCCCATGGAGCCCCTAAATCTGCTCCTTGCCACCCCAGTTCCCCGTGGCACCAGCGGGGGACCACGTGGCCATGCTGGAGCGTGTCAAACAGAGCAACTACGAAAGCCCACCTGCATTCAGCTCTGCGCTGGCCCGGCTGCTTGCTGAGGTAACCCTCCCGCCTGGATTTTGGGGTCCCTGCCGGTCCCCTGGGCTGGATGCTGGGGTCCCCACCACTCACTGTCCTCCCTCCATCCCCAGCTGCTGTGTCACAACCCCTTGCACCGCCTGCGCTACCTCCACCACTTCCAGGGCCACCCTTTTTTCCGCGGGGTGGCCTTCGACGCCGACCTGCTGCAGAAGGACCCGGTGGCGGTGACGGTGGCCCCACGCCCCCCCGAGCAGCCCCTTCCCGACCCTGCCGTCTTCGCTGACTTTGACTGCGACCTCACCGCGGCTCCCTCGGGAAGACCCTGGCCTGGCTGAGCCACCGTGGCTGGGGACCCCCAGCATCGCTCAGGGACATTCCCCCCCCCCCCACCCCCCAACCCCGGCAGCGGGTCGGAGCTGGGCTGGGTTCCCCTTTCCCCCAACGCTGTACCTCTCCCCGCGGGAGCAATAAACCCGAGAGCCGCGGGCATCGCTGCGGGGGGCTGCCCTGACTCCCCGTGGGACCCCCCCCGGGAGAGAGCGAGACCCCCAGGGGGTGCGTGGGGCTGATGCGTATCTGTGTCGTCCCCCCCCCCCCCTCCTCGGGTAGGTGCCGGGGGGCTGCGCAGGGCAGGTTCCCCCGGAGCAGGCGCTGGGGAGACCCCGGGGTGTGGGGGTGTGGGGGGGTTTGGGCCCCCCCCCCCCCGCCATGGGCTGCGCGTCCCCGGCGCTCGGCGCTGCACGGCGCCTCGGGGGCGGGGCCTCGCTCCGTAACCACGCCCACCCCCCCGGGTACAGCCCCGCCTCTAACCGCCTCTCCCCTCGTGGGGTGACGCGTCGCGCCGAGCAGCCAATCAGAGCGGCGCGTGGTTTTCAAACGGGCGGCGGCGGCGGCGCGCGGGGATCGGCGGGACCGGGACGGGGATCAGGCCCGGACCCCGGACCGGGGCTATGCGGGCCGCCCGGACCCCCCTCGTGAGTTTGGGGCGGGGGGGGGCACCGGTTTGGGCGTTCCGGTGCCTGGTCGGGGAGAGCCCCGGGGGGTGGGGGGGGTCCCGGTGGGGCGACGCTGACCGTGCGCAGCTGCCCGGGGTCGGTGCGCTCCCGTTATATGTATCCATATAAATTTATACGGGGGGAGGGGGGGGGGGGTGTGCGCGCTGCCGGTGGTGCCGCCGGTGATTCCCCCCCCCTCCCGGTGCTCCCCCCCCCCCCCCCCCGTTTCCCCAGGCGCAGCAGCGGCCCCGGCGCGCCCCGTTGCAGGAGCTGCGGCTGCAACCGGGCGCCGAGCGGACCAGCCTCACCCCGCTGCTCTGCCGCCTGCGCATCAAGGTCGGTGTTTGGGGGGGGGGGGGGGGGGGGCGGGAACCGGGAACCGGGGCAGGCTAACAGGAAGGGATGCTGGGGTGTACCGGAACTGGGGATACGGGAGTGGGGTGACCGGGGTAGTGGGAGGACGGGGTGTAGCTACTGGGATGGGGGAGGCTGGGGCAAACGGTTATGGGGGGCTGGGGAGAAGGGCAGGGCAGCCCTGACACCTCTCCCTGTCGCCTCCCCCCTCCAAATCTCTTATAGGACCATGACAGTGCCACCCCGGTGTCTCACACCCAGCGGCCCCCCAGCAGCGTCACCTCGGTGCCCTGCACTCCAGGACCCTCCAGGAGTGCTATCCTGCAGCCCCCCAGAAGCACCACCCTAGTGCCTTGCACCTCGGGGCTCCCCATCAGCGCCATCCCGGAGCCCCCTGGGACTCCCACCCTGGGACCCAGCACCTCGGAGCCCTCCGGGACTCCCACCCTGGTGCCTGGTGCCCCTGAGCCCCCCAGCACCCCAGAGCCCCCTGGCAGTACTGTGCCAGCCCCCACGTGCAGCCCCATCCCAGGTCCCAGCACCCCGGAGTCCCCCAGTAGCACTGTGCCAGCTCCACTGTGCAGCCCCACCCCGGAGCCCCCCAGTAGCCCCATCCCAGGGCCCAGCACCCCGGAGCCCCCCAGTAGCCCCGTCCCAGGGCCCAGCACCCCGGAGCCCCCCAGTAGCCCTGTCCCAGGGCCCAGCACCCCGGAGCCCCCCAGTAGCCCCATCCCAGGGCCTAGCATCCCGGAGCCCCCCAGTAGCACCGTGCCAGGGTCATGTACCCCAGAGCCCCCCAGCAACACCACTCCAGCCCCCTGCACCCCAGGGCCCTCCAGCATCATCAGCTCAGTGCCTTGCACCCCAAACTCCCCAGGCACCACCACGCTAGCACCCTGCACCCTTGGGCCCCCTGGCAGTGGCAGCATGGCCTCCTGTACCCTAGGGCTCCCCGGCACCAGCTCCACCCCACAAGAAGCTCCCTTCCACGGGTGGCGAGTGGCACCCGCTGACCTCTCCTGCAGCCCTGTGGCCACTGAGCCCGCGGCTGGAGATGGGAGTGCAGCTCCTCTACCTTGCCAAGGCACCCCTGAGGGAGACAAGTCCCCAGCCCCTGTCCCCCCAGAGCAGGACCCCCCCGGATTTGCTCCCACCGAGGCAGGTCAGTCGGTGCCTGCTGGGTTGGAGGTAGTGGCCACCCCTACCCCCTCGCTCGAGGTGGCCCCGGGTGCCGTGTCCTGGGTGTTGCCGCTGCTGTGGTTGGAGAAGAACCTCAACTCCTCGTCCTTGCTGGAGTCCCTTCGGCACAGCCTGCCTCTGCCTGTTTCCACCGCGGTCGCCGGCACCAGCGTCACCCCCGTTTCCACCGCGGTCGCTGGCACCAGCGTCACCCCCGTTTCCACCGCGGTCGCCGGCACCAGCGTCACCCCCGTTTCCACCGCGGTCGCTGGCACCAGCGTCACCCCCGTTTCCACCGCGGTCGCTGGCACCAGCGTCACCCCCGTTTCTACCGCGGTCTCCGGCACCAGCGTCACCCCCGTTTCTACCGCGGTCGCTGGCACCAGCGTCACCCCCGTTTCTACCGCGGTCGCTGGCACCTTCATGACCCCCCGGGACACGCGGGAGAGGAGCATGAACACCTCTGCGGGCAGCCCCCCCTGTGCCAAGGACAGCGCTGCCGAAACGGACTCCCTGCTCTGGCAGTAAGTGTGGGGATGTGTGTCATCCCACACCCCCCCCCCCCCCAAGACAGGGCTGTGGCACCCACGGGCCATCCCTAACCCGAGCCCTCTCTCTGTCCCCAGCTGTCCCCGGGAGCAGCTGAAATCCCTGCCGCGGGCAGAGCTGGAAGGGCGACTGGAGAGCACCCTCATCATCATCGAAGCCCTCTCGCTCCAGCTGCGCGACTGGCAGGAGAGCCAGCGGCTGCTGCCCGGCGTGGGGCCGGCTGAGCAGAGGGACGCGCTCACGCAGACGGACGTCACCCACCCCAAAGGGGTAAGAGTCCTCACCGAGGTGGCCTCGGTGCCGTGCCGGTGCCTACGTGCCGCTGGCAGGACGGTGGCCCCGGCTGGACTGCAGCTCGCTGAAGCGGAAATAAAGCGGGGCTGCTGCGGCACGGCACGGCGAGCGGCATCACGCGCCCGGTGCTGCTCCAGCCGGGTTATTGCGCCTGGCTCAACCCGCTGAGTTTGCTCGATTTGAACCCTTTGTGCAGGGAAACATTCCTGGCACATGCGGGGGGAGGATGGGAGGTGTCGTGGCTACCCGGGTCTTGCTGGACCCCAGGGTAGAGTGGGGCTGGTGTGAAGCCCCCTCCGCTCTGCCCTTAGGAGGAGGAGATCTACCACAACCTCTACCTCGAGCTGAGGAGGAAGACGGAGGTTCTGCAGCGGCAGCGGGGAGCGGAGCAGGACCTGCAGCGGGAGCTGGAGCTGGCTGCAGCGGGGACGGTGTGTCTTGGCTGGTTGGCGTGCGATGAGTGCGCCGGGTCTCAGCCACGCAGGGTACGCGTGTGCCCGGCGCTGCCTCTGCCAGCTCTGGGAGCGCTGCCTGAGCACCGGTGCCTTTGTCCCTTCCCCAGAGTGCCTGGAGCAGGCAGTGCCTCTTGTTTCGGGGCCTCGCGGATGCCACCTTTCAGAGCTTGCAGGATGAGCAGAGAACACTTGCTCAGGAGGTGAGCCCCTTGCACAGCCAGTCTGGCCCCCCCCACCTTTTCCACCCTGGATTTGGAAGACGCTGGCACTGCCGGCACACGTGGCAGCCGTCAGCTATACCTGGTGCCTCCCGGCGCCGTCTCCTCACACAGCGGGAGCAGGTGAGGGCTCTGGTGTCACGGTGTCGGGCCGTGCTGGAGAATGTGCCTGGCAAACTGCGGAGCTGCCTGGAGGAGCGGGATGCCATGAGGCAGCGAGCGGACGAAGCCCTCCGAACCAAGGAGGAGGTAAGGGGGCAACTGGTGGTAGGGGGGTTGAGGCAGCCTCTGCTGTCCCCACGTCTTTGACGGGGGCACCCTGTGTCTTTGCCCATCTCGGAGCGGGGAGAGGGTGTGAAGGGTCTCCCTGGCATCCCAGGGGAAGAGCCTGATGTGGCCGTGGAAGGCCAGAAGTGCTTGTGGCTGCCTGGGGCGGCTGGAGCTCTCTGGAGGAGTTTTTGGCTCGGGCTGTGTCCCGCTGGGAGCGGGAGCCCGGGGCTGCAGCAGCATGCGAGGACGGCTCCTGGGAGTTGTCCCTTGTTTGACACCGTGCCCGGAGCATCATCCTTCCCTCGGCAGGGAGATCGCTTCCTGGAAGCCTTCCGCGCCCACGCCAGCGCCCAGATCGGTGCCCGTGACCAGAGCCTGGCCTCCCAGCGAGAGCTGGGCGTGCTGCTGGTGGATGCCATCAACCAGCAGGTACTGAGCGGGTGGGCGCTTCCAGCTGGATCCCAGGGGGGCTGGAAGGGCACCCCCCCACATCCTGAGCTTGGGTGATGCTCTGAGCGGTGGTTTGCGATGGGCTTGGGCTCACCAGAGGTTTCTTGGTGCTGCTGCTGGGAAGCTGCCTCGGATCCAGCCTCTGGGCTGGCGCTCGCCCCCCTCCGCAGCCCTCGAATGTGGTTTTTCCACCACGACAGCGCTGACTGGTCTCTCCCACCCCACAGGCATCCCTGGCTGCTGAGGCTCAGCATTTCCGGGAATTTATAGACGGCACCTTTGAAAATCTGGAGGAGGAAAGGAGAACCCTGGACGTGGAGGTGAGGGGTGTCCCAGTGGGGGCTGGCGGTGGGCTCAGCCCCTTCTCCTCCCTGCCAACGCGGTGCAGCCCGGTGCCACTTTGCCTTGTGCACTGGGTACCGCGGGCTCAAAGGCTGACAGTGCCATGCTAAGCTCTGCCCCGGTGCCACCTCCACTTGCAGCGGGAGCAGACGAGGACCCTGGTGTCCCGGTGCTGGGCCATGCTGGAGAACGTGCCCGGCAAGCTGCGGAGCTGCCTGGAGGAGCGGGATGACATGAGGCAGAGGGCAGACGAAGCTCTTCGAGCCAAGGAGGAGGTAGGGGGTCATTGAGTGCTGAGTGATGCCTGGGATGCTCCGTTGCAGCCTGGCAGGAGGTGATGTGGGGGCACCCCTTGGGAACATCCCATGGGGAAGAGCAGCCCAAAGCAAGCCCGGAGGACACTGTGTCTCTGCAGGTGTCCTGCCAGCTGGAAGAGGCCTCGGTGGCTTTGCAGGACGCGGTGGCTCAGCTGGAGCAGCTGACGGTGGCCAACTCGCACCTCAGCACAGGTAGGGAGCGGGTGACATGGGGGTCAGAGCTGCCCCGTCCCCCACCAACGCTGATGGCTCTGCCCCTCGCAGACCTGAGCTCCTTGATGACGAATCTGGCCAACGTGGAGCAGGAGCGGGATGCGCTGCAGCAGGAAAACGAGAAGCAATGGGAGGAGATGGCCTGGTGGGTCTGAACTCCGGGGCAGGGCATTGGTCCCTGACCCATAGCCACCCCCTGACCCTGTCCTGTCCCCACAGCCTGGCGCGGGAGAGGGAAACCCTGCAGCAGGAGCGCAACGAGCTGTGCCAGGAGCTGCGGGAGGTGATCGAGTGCCGGGAGGTAGGAGCTGTCTGACCCTGCCCGCACCGTCACCCGCTGCTGGCCCCCGTCATGGCCTCACGGGAATGCTGGCGGCTGCCCAGGAGCGGGATTAGCCCTCCCTCGGGGGTGGGGGGGCCAGGGGGGTGAGCGAGGTGAGGGTGGTTGACATCCCGCACGTAGCGCAGCTCTCCATCCTGCCCGGCGGCGATTCCCAGGGAGGGGGACGGGCAGCTCGCTGGGATAATTTTACCCTGGCTGCAGGCGTGGTGCCATCCCCCAGCCTGTCCTACGTCTCCAGGGGTTGGTCGTCTGGGGTAGAACTGCCCCTAATTGTGCCAAATGGGCCCACTCAGGTCTTTGTCTGGGCACTCACGGCCATGTCCCCCCACTCTCTTATAGTTCCTTGATCAGGAGAACCGCATGTCCCGCACGCAGCTGCTGGAGGTGGAGGCCAGGCTGAAGTCCACGCTGGCCAGCCTGCAGGAGTGCAGCCTGCAGTACCAGGAGCTGACAGATTCCCACCAGCATCTACGGTACTAACCCCACCCACAAACTCAGCTTGAACCCCTCTATTTTTGGGAAATCGAGCCCCTCTTGTAGGGTAGGGGACACACAGAGGGATTGTCTGGTCACTGCTGTCCCAGCCCAGCGTGGTTGCCTGGGTGGGTGGAAGAGGCTGTGGGGAAGCCCAGCAGACCCCATCTTGGGGGAAGCCGCCTAAATCTCTGGGGTTTGCACCACCCCCAGATCACGGTGGGAGGCAAGAGTGGGAAATGTCCCCATCCTATGCCGAGGAGGGGGAATGCTGCTCTTGCTGAGGCTGATACCATCACACAGGGAAGAGCAGGCTGCTCTCGGCAAGGAGCTGGAGACCACCAAGGCTGAGCTTCTTGACTTGAAGCTCAAGAGGGACAAAGTCTCCTGGTGCTCTGCGGACATCGCCGAAAGCAAGATGAGGCTGCAGGAGCTGGCTGACTGCCTCAGGGCCGCTCTGCAAGAGGAGGTAGAAGCTCTGCCCTGGGGATAAGGACAAGGGGGTGGCACAGGGGGGGGTCAGACACCTGTGGCTTTCCATGGTGTGGCTTTGAGACCCCTCCCCTGCTTGCAAGGGCACAGCAGAGCAGTCACAAGCTGCCCTCCGGTGCTGTGCTCTCCCTCCCCTCTGAAGGATGACGATGTCCCATCGAGAAGCAGAGTCTGGACCCCAGCTCCACGGACGCCGGGCTGGCAGACACCCCACCGTGCCTGGACCCCCGCCTGCCGCACGCCGGCATGCCGCACCCCGTACCACACCAGGGGCTCCTTCGTGGGCAGTGTCCTGAAAGCGGTGTCGGGGAAAGGTGAGCTGGCACCCGCTGTGTGGGGATGGGGATCACTCCCTCCCATGTTGGGGATGTGCGCTGGTGCTGGGTGAGGAGGAGATCCCAGTGCCATCCCTGTGCCCTTCCCTGTGGGTCCTTCAGTTGTTCCCCTGGGGCAGCCATGGGTTGGGTCACCGCTCCCACGAGCGGTCGGGCTCTTTTCTGAGCTCTCTGGGGCAGAAGGGTGCATGAGGGAGCTCTGGTCGTGCTCCCTGCAGCACGCAGGGCTGGGCACAGCGCCTCTGTCCTCTCCTCCTGCAGATGCCGATGAAGCCACTGAAGGTGGGAGTGCATTCACCAAGGACAAACTTGCCTCTACACCGAAGCCAAGAGGTATTGGGGCTGTCACCCTGCCCTGGAACCTGCTCTGAAGCTGCAGGACTGCCTGCACAGGGGGAGGATGAGCAGGCATGCCTTCCTGCATGGCTGTCCCCTGGGACTGACATTCTTTCCTCATCGTTCACAAGCCTCTGCCCTGCCCACAGAGCCTGAAGATGGTCTCTTGGAGAGTGTGAAGGAGCTGAGATCCATGGTCTCCAGCCTCACCTTGCTGAGCTCCCGCATCCAGGAGCTGGAGCAGAGCAAGTTCAAGGAGCTGCAGACGGAGATGTGAGTTCAGCGGGGGGCTCGTGTTGAGGGCCAGGTGTGAGCACAGCTCTGGGCATGGTCTCTCCTGCGGGCAGCCTGTCTGGGGTCTGCCTCTTGCCCCAGCTCTGGATTAGACCTCCTGGCATGGCTACAAGGGCTTTTTTGAGCTGGCTGGGCTGGTGGGTTTGCTTCTCCCACCACAGGGCTGGTGGGATGCCCGGGAGGGAGGGTGCTTGGCTGCAATCCCCACCCGCTCAGCACCGCTGTCCTCTCCCAGCTCCGACCTGCAGATCCATCTGGAGACGGTGACAGCCGAGAGCCAGGAGAAGATGGATGCCCAGGCTGCTGCCATTGCCAAGCTGAACAAGGCGCTGAGGGGCAAGCTTGAGGTGAGCTGGTGCCAGAAGTGGGTCAGCGCTCACCCCAGGGCAGAGCCGAACTGGGACGGGCGCCGATCTAGGACGCGGAGAAATCTGGGTGACTGGCTCTGGTGATGCCCCATGGGTGCTTCTGGCTTGTCTGACCTTCTCGAACAAGAGAAAACCTGCTCCCCCTCAGGGTGCTGGGGGTGGCCGGGGCCAAGCACTGCCTGACACAGCTTCTTCCTTCCTGCAGAATGAGAAGGAGCTGCAGGACGTGGTGAAACGGCAGGAAGAGAAGATGCTGCAACTCATCGACAAGACTGGGGAAGTCACGGTTCGTGATGGGGGCTCAGTTGGGCTGCATGACCCGGGGGGTGCCAGCTGCAGGACCCCTCTCAGCACCTCCTTTGCCCCTGCAGAGGCTGAATGGAGAGGTCTCCCAGCTGAAGCGCTCGCTCCAGCGTGCTGAGACAGAGGCCAAGGTGCTGTGGGAGGAGATGCGGGGGCAGGAGCCCAAGGTGGACGCTGCCTACATCCAGGAGCGAGTCCTGCTGCGGCAGGAGGTGAGGTTGGGGGGCTGCGGAGACTTCAAGGCTCCTTGTGTCACCACCCCTCTGAGGATAGGGGACCTCTCCACACCTTGCTCCTTGAGCTGGTGACCAGTGGGCTGGCAGGGGAGAGCCCCCCACCCCAGGACTCTTGCCCCACAGTGATCTCTCAGCAGCACTTGCTCTTTTTGCAGGTGGACAAACTGCGGCTGCTGCTCCTGGAGAAAGAGGATGAGAATCTGCTGCTCTCTGACAAGTACCTGGAGCAGGTATGGTGAGCCCTGAGGGGCTGCCCTGGCTCTAGTCCCCTCTCCTGAGCCTGTCCCTGCCCAGTTTTGGGGCAGCTTCCTCACAGGCATCTCCCACCTCAGGTCCGAGGGCTGGAGATGAGGCTCCATCACACCCAGAAAGTGCTGAAGACCCACGAGGAGATGCAGGAGAAGATGAAAGAGGTGAGGCGTTGCGATTGCTCGCTCTCACCCTTGCTGTGACTACAGCACCACAAACACTCATCCCCAACGCTGTCACCGATGCTGTTGCTGTCCCCAGGTCCTGTTGGCCGTCCCTGACGTGGCAGCGAGCTGCCAGGAGCTCCACAGCCTGCTGCGGTACTTGGGCCTGAAGCCAGCCCGTGGCAGCAAGGAAGCCGCTGAGCCGCTATAGCCTGTAGCGTGAAACCTTCCTCTTTAATGCTGTAATTATTTATTGAATAAAGTTTTGTTGGCTTTTACCCTGCCTGCTGCATGGATGCAGGAAGCTCCTGGTGCCCTGGGTGGGGACAACTTGTCCAGCCTGTGCCGGCTGTTCCTGCTCCGTCACAGGGCTATGGGCACAGGTCCCTGCTACCCCAGGGCCTCTCCTTCTTGGTGGGGGGTACACCCCCCCGCACCAAGTGCTTCTTTTTAACAAGGCCCTCACCCTATGGCCCTGGCAGCAGCCACTATGCCTGGGCAGACCTAGCTTCCCTCCCCAGGCCCCTGCTCCTCCTCCTGCCCTAGATTTCCCTCTGTGCCCCCCTCCTGCCCCCCTTGGGGAGGGTATCGGAGGCTGGATCCTGCACCCCCCTCACGGGGCTTGTTGCGTGGGGACGGTTCCCCCTCCCAGCATGGGTCTGGCATGCAGCATCCTGCCAGGCACTGGGAGCTCTGCCAGCTCCTGCTCCCAGCCCCCCCTTGGCCCCTGCTGCTGCATGGTGGGGGGGGCTCCCTCAGGGGGGTCCCCTGCTCCCAGCACAGCTCCAGCCTCACCTCCCTCCTTCCCTGCTAGGGCATCTCCTTTGGGATCCCCTTCCCGGTGTTCCCGGCCCCAAGGATGCTCCCCGCCACCATGGGGGCCATGCGGCACCTCCCTCCCCTGGCATAGCCCAAAATAGCAGCGTTCAAACAAGTGTTCTGGTTTTTAATGGCCCGTTTCTCCTGCCCGCAGGGGGTGGGGATCACCTTCCCCTGCCCGCTGCCACAGCCCTGCTGCCCTGTGTGGGATGGGTGCTGTGGCACCCTGGGGGTGCTGGCACCTTTTTTTACCCCTGCACCCAGGAAATGGAGGTGTTTAGGGTTGTACCTCTATTTACCGGGTATGTGAGTGACTTGTGGGGAAGCAGCACTTGCTGCTCCCTGGCATTGCCTCCCTCCCTGTTCTGGCTGTGACCCTGCTGGCAGGGGGGTTGAATACAGCCCCCCAAGATGTGAGGCTGGCAGTGGGGTCCCCAGGCTGTGCCTGGTTCTGGGATGGAGGGGGGAGATGTGCCCCTCCCTGGATTAGGGCCATGCGGGGTGGCTGAGCCCTCCTTTTACGGCAGGGATTCAGCAGAGCACGGCCCTGGCAGCCGGCCCCGTGGGGTGAGCGGGGACACCGCTATTGTCCCTGTGCCGGCTGCAGGCAGCTTTTTTTTGGGGGGGGGGGGGACACGGACGGACAGACAGACTGGTCTTCTGTGGGAGCCCTCAGCCCATCCTGGGGGGCTGAGGCTCTGCGCTGCTGGGGCTTGGACCCTGATAGCTAAGGGGACGAGCAGCCAGGGTCTCTGGCACAGCAATAGTGGGGTGGCACAGGGGGGGTCCCCAGCCCAAAGGTGATGAGGGGAAGGTCCCTGCCTGTAGTTGGCAGTGGCAATGGGGGGGGGGGGGCATAGTGGGCTCCCCAGCAGCTGCAGGGGGGTGTCAGGGGAAGTCCCCCACCCGTAACGAAGGATGGCACAGCAGGGTCGGTGGCACAGAGGGGTCTCCAGCAGCAACAGGAGGTGGCACAGTGGGGTGCCTGGGTGGCATGGGGGGTCCCTGCCCATGCCAGGGGGTGACTCAGCTAGTTCTCTGTCCGGGGGTGGGGGACACAGAGGGGTCCCCACCAGCAGAAGGGGGTGGCACAGCGGGGTCCCCCAGCTCGGGGCTGTCGACCTGGGGTCCCCATCGACGACACCGATCGCCGCCGGCGAGAGGGGGACGTGTGTGGGGGGTGGGGGGGGGAGTGTGGGGGGGGTGGGGGGGGGTGTGCGTGCGGCGGCGGCGCCGGGGGGGGCGGAGCGGGCCGGGGGGGCCGGTCCTGCCGGGTGCCGCCCCGTCGGTCACGTAGCTCTGCGGCACCGCAGCCCCATTTACCGCGGGACCGGAGCGCACAGCCCGCAGTCCGCGCCCGCCGCCGCCCGCCCTGCACGGTAAGAGGGAACCGGGAAAATCGGGGGCGGGGGGCGCAGCCGAGGGACCCCGGCGACGGGAGCCGGCAGCCCCGCCGAAGCTCCGGGGTGTTTCTTGCGGTGCCGCCGGCGTCCCGGGGGTCGGGCAGTGCTGTGGGCGGGGGGGGGGGGGGGCGGGTTCCGGGGCAACGGGAGTCCCGGGCATGGGGGTGTTGGGGGGACGGGGAACAAGACCGGAGACACCCCCTGCGCTGGAGCGGCCCGAGCCGGGGCGGTGCCGGCCGGGGGCTCGCCGCCCCGGGGGGAGCACCGGCTCCCTGGGGGCATCACCGTCCCCTCGACGGCGCCATCCCAGGGGTACCCCAAACCCCGGGTACCCCCAGCCCCAAGTAGTGCCGGCCCTGGAGTCTCTCCCTCCCCAGAGTAGCGCCATACTCGGGGTATTCCCATCCCTCCGGTATCCGCATCCCCGGGCTATCACCATCCCCCGTGTACCTCCCACTCGGGGTACCCCCGGCTCTGGGGTAGCTCAATCCCCCCCGGGCCCCCGCGGAGCTGCGCTCCCTCAAGATGGCTGGGCTGGGGGCGGACGAGCAGGCAGCAAAATGGCTGGGAGCTCCCCGGCATCCTCCACGAGGCCCTGCCCGTCCCGGGGTGAGGGCAGCTGCCTGCTTATGCAACGGGCCCGCCCTCTTGACCGGCAGGAACCGGGACGGGGAAGGGGGGGGGGGGGTTGCCCCAGCCCCGTGGGGGTCCCCGGTCCCTGCAGGACGCGGGTGCGTGGCGGATGGGTGGGCCACCCCGCCCGGCGTGTGACTCAGCCGCCCCGTCCGCTCGCAGCCACCCGCCGCCACCATGACGCACCAATACCCCGCGCTGACGACCGAGCAGAAGAAGGAGCTGTCGGACATCGCGCTGCGCATCGTGGCCCCGGGCAAGGGCATCCTGGCCGCCGATGAATCCGTAGGTCAGTGTAAGGGAAGGGGGGGATTTGTCCCACCACCCCTTTTCCCCGAGCCTGAGGGTGACGAGGGTGCCGGGTGCCTGCAGGGAGTATGGCGAAGCGCCTCAACCAGATCGGGGTGGAAAACACGGAGGAGAACCGCCGGCTGTACCGCCAGATCCTCTTCAGCGCCGACAGCCGGGTGAAGAAATGCATCGGGGGCGTCATCTTCTTCCACGAGACCATGTACCAGAAGGCTGACGATGGCACCCCCTTCGTCCAGATGATCAAGGACAAGGGCATTGTCGTGGGCATCAAGGTGTGGGGGGGGTGTCCAGTGGGTTTGTGGGGTCCTGAGGGTGCTTGGAGGGCGCTGGTGGGGCTCAGCGCCGCCTTCCCCTTCTCACCACAGGTGGACAAGGGTGTTGTGCCGCTGGCCGGGACGGATGGCGAGACCACCACGCAGGGTAGGTGGAGTGGGTAGGGGTCTGGGGGCCGCGGGGTTTGGGGCTGTGGGGCTGACGCGCTGCCTGGCAGGTTTGGATGGGCTGTCGGAGCGCTGTGCCCAGTACAAGAAGGATGGGGCCGACTTCGCCAAGTGGCGTTGCGTGCTGAAAATCAGCGACAACACCCCCTCCGCGCTCGCCATCATGGAGAACGCCAACGTCCTGGCCCGCTACGCCAGCATCTGCCAGCAGGTACGTGTGTGTGGCTGGGCATCGCCCCCCGGGGTGGGCATTGACCCATAGGATGGTTGTTGACTTCAGGGACCAGGTATTGCTCCACAGGGATGGGCACAGATCCATGGGGCTCAGCATTGCCCCCATGCCTGGGTACCACTCCATGGGGCTGGGCATCAAGCTGTGGGCTGGGTGGCACCTCACGTGGATGGGCATTGACCCCCCCAGGACCTGGCATTGCTCCACAGGGTGGGCGTCACCCATGGGGCCAGGCATCAATCTATGGGGTTGGGCATCACCCCAGAAACATGGGCGTTGCTCCATGGGGCCAAGAATTGACCTTCCCGTGTTGAGCATCACCCCATGGGGCTGGGCATAACCCCACTGGGCATCACTGGCAAGAGTGGACATTGAACTTCGGGGTTGAGCATTGTCCCCAGGTCCAGGCATTGGCCCACGTTGCCATGGGGCCAGGGCGATGCCCAGGGACGTCCCCATGATGGCATCTGCCTGGTGTTTGCAGAACGGCATTGTGCCCATCGTGGAGCCAGAGATCCTGCCTGACGGTGATCATGACCTCAAGCGGTGCCAGTATGTGACGGAGAAGGTGAGCGGTGGGGCGGGCAGCAGAGTGGGCACCGTGCCGTGCTACGCCATGACGTGCCGAGGGATTCCACGCTGCCCGTCCCCCCTCAGGTGCTGGCAGCTGTCTACAAGGCACTGAGCGACCACCACGTCTACCTGGAGGGGACCTTGCTGAAGCCCAACATGGTGACCCCCGGGCACTCCTGCCCCACCAAGTACAGCCCCGAGGAGATCGCCATGGCCACCGTCACCGCCCTGCGCCGCACCGTGCCCCCTGCCGTGCCAGGTACCAGCACTGGGATGTGGCAGGGACCAGGAGGGGGATGCCCCGTGGTCCCACCAGTGCCGTAACCCCGCTCTCCGCAGGTGTCACCTTCCTGTCCGGGGGTCAGAGTGAGGAGGAGGCTTCCATCAACCTCAACGCCATCAACACGTGCCCGCTGGTGCGGCCGTGGGCCCTCACCTTCTCCTACGGGCGGGCGCTGCAGGCGTCGGCGCTCAGCGCCTGGCGCGGGCAGCGGGACAACGCCGCCGCCGCCACCGAGGAGTTCGTCAAGCGCGCAGAGGTGATGGGGGGGTGGCCCCCCCGAAAGAGAGAGGGGTGCTGAGGGCTGTGTCCCATGGGTTGGTGGGGACGCTGAGAGCTGTCTTCCCCGTGGGGAGCAGGTACACTGGTGACTGTGCCCCTTGGGGTGGGGGACGCTGAGGGCCACGTCCCGCGGGGTGACAGGAGGCACCAAGGGCTGTGTCCCCACAGGACAAGGGATGCTAAGGACTGTGGGAGGGGACGCAGCAGTGTTTCCGTGGGGGACAGTGAGGGCTGTGTCCCCGCAGGGGGAATGGGCCAGGTCGCTGTGGGATGGGCCACGGGTGACACGGGACATTGAGAGCTG